AAACTGGTGTGAAGTTGCAAACGTATCAGGAGTATTGTTCTGGATACGCACCAATGAGTGATATCACAACTGCTCTATGTGAAATAATGCATCACTGATGTCTGGAGCTGATGTGTAAGCCACTTTTTAGAGATAATTGTCACATCTCATTGCACGGTGCACCAAAAAAAGAGGAATAAATCTACAACCCACAGAGTACATTTCAAATTAAAAAGAAAACAACAGAGTGACGAACAAGCTCGTTTTCAGAGATTCATACTCATGTCAATACATTTCAACTGAACACCGAAACGATTAAGTCACTCACCAGTGCAGTGGTTTCACGCCTAGCTGAAACAAATCATATTGTGGACGTGTTCGAGGCATTCGGGCACCTACATAAAGTTCGTGAGCGATTATCGAAGCAGATTCGCTGTCGGATGCTGGCTAATGCAGAAGCGGTGGGCATTCGTCTGCACAACCCGCCTCTGTGTGCCCAAAAACAATTTGTGCAAGCGCTAAAGCTTCCCTGGTCCACCCACACCCACGCCCACGCCGTTTATAGATTGATTTCGATGATCAGATGAATGGAAGAACAAATATGGGAACCCGATTTTCGGTCTCATGATGAAATCATTTATAGTAATCTGTGATTTGATTTTCCCAAGACGATTTTAGTCCCAAGTAGTGATATATATTGAAATGTATTGGCATGAATACGAATCTCTGAAAACGAGCTTGTTCGTCACTCTGTTGTTTTGTTTGAAATCCATAATCATAAAGGTCTATCTATTGTTCAGTTTTTAATTCTTAGCAGTTTCCTAATATCCACTTCCAGGAAGAGGAGAAAAGCCAATTGAAGGGAGGGATGAACATTTGATGGAACGTTTTTCTTACAGATGCATATATATTTATTGCCCTATTGGTTTACCAGCTCTTCAGTTATCTACTTCTAGGCGGAATGAAAACCCATTCGCTTGGATTAGCTACTGTTACAACATTTTTTATACCGACTGAGGCCCACTCTAGTTGAACCCCCAACCTGGATGACCAGGAGACCGGACTTTGCCTGACCTCCACCCATTGACTTTCTAGGCATGAATAGATTCCTGGCTCAACAAAAGCCCTCTTGTGTAGTTCGTTGAGTCTCAGAGGTGCACGCGCAGTCTCATCAAGGTGTAGAGAGATTGTTATTACACACCTCATGGTGAACATTAAAAGATAGTGGCTATTAAGAGGTTCTAGAACCAGGAATGATCAAGCACATGATACAGCAATATGGGTGTGTGGGGTGGGGTACTGAGCGAAACAATTCCCCATGAAACTGTATTCTGGTCGATATTAGCATTTTCCTTGACGTTCGTGATGGCTGCAAACTGCACGAAGGTTCCTCTCCCCTCCCCCCTGAAAAATTAATACAGAGAATAACCGGAAATTCTGTTCCTCCAAATAGATCTTGATGGGTCAGACCAGAAAAAAAAAACATTGATTTGCTTTGCAAGCTTACTCGCCCAATCCACCGGAGCCAATATTGAGATCTAAACCGGCATCTTGAACTTGTTCCACTCCTCGATCATTCACACCGAACGTTGGAGTGGCCATGTAGGACATGAATTTATAGGCACCCAAGCAGGCTGATAAACTTCCAAATGACAGAACCATATAACGCGTGGTAAATCCGGACCATCGAAACAGTAGAGTCGTTGTATAGAAAATGACCTGAGAAGAATAAGCAGTATGGAAAAGGAGTGAGTTATTGCATATAAATATTTCGTTTGGGTAATGTTAGCATGTTTCATACTCAAACGTGCGGGATGGTGATCAACCAATCGAAGAGGACTGGCGTCCCGGCGGCGAATATAGGGCTATAAACATCACAGCAGACCGATATCCAATACCATACATTCAGGACCTGACAACAAATTTAGGAGGGTGTAAGATCCTCAGCAAAATCGATCTAGTTCCAGCCAAATCCAACCAAACCCTCGTACCCTCAGGATATCCCTAAAACCGCAGTGATCACGCCATTTGGTCTCTGAGTATGCCTTTTGGCTTGAGAAACGCAGCTCAACATTTTCAGCGTTTTACATACCAAGTGTGTCCAAATTTATGCAACACCTTCGCTTACTTGGATGACTTATTGGTCGTTAGTTCAACACCTGAGGAATACGAACTGTTACGCGTTCTATTCGCACGTCTGACACAACATGGTGTCACAATTAATTTAGCGAAATGTTCCTTTGGAGAGCGTAGTGTAAACTACCCAGGTCATCGAATCTTCGACACAGATATTGCTCCGCTCAAAGATAAAATAACAAACATTTTAGAATACTCAGAATCGACTTCCATCAAACAGCTTCGACATTTCGACGGGTTGGCACATGTTTACTGACATTTTTATAGTCTACTGTGCAAAGCTTACGCCAACAATTACCAATTTACTTCGAGGTAATTTACAACAATTTACATTCATCGACGAGGCACACCAAGCATTCGGCGAGTTGAAACGGGCTATCCCTGATCTAGCCGCAGTTTCACATTACACCCCTTTAGCAATCTCCACAGACGCATCCAACGTAGCAGTAGGTACGGTACTAAAACAAGGCGCAAGTGAAGAGTGGAAGCCTTCAGTATTCTTCTCGAAACGTTTGCCATCGGCAGAGTCTGGTTACGGAACACACGACCGCGAACTTCTTTCGT